TTTTCAAAGATTTTTACTGGACACAGTGCATTAAATTGATTACGGGTTAAATCCCCTGTTTATTTAATAATTACTGCCAGAATAATACTGGAATTGGCGTTTCATGAATTCTAATCTATACTTTATAGTATTACCTAATTTATAATATATAGAAATTCTATATGCATAAAGATATTTAGCGTCGTTAGTTTGAAAGGTGCATTACATGTAATAATATGTGTTTTGTTAACCATATCTTTGAATATTGTGTACAGCCAATGAATTCACTTTATTATAAGCAGTAGTCTGTTAACATTAATAAATTGAAAAATTTTTTCATTTAGAATTAAAATTGTAAATGCAGTATAATTCAGTATTCTAGGTTTGTTATTGTAACGAATTCGTGACGCTGGACTTCTAGCTTGTTGGAGTCTTGGTTATTGCTAATATCAAAGCCAGGGATGTTCGAAAGTCCTGATACTAGATAGTTATATAGGGACTTATCTACTCTAACGCGCTCTATGCGGTACAAAGTTACCCGGAAGCTCGAAAGCTTATATATTAGGTATATGAGGCTAAGGGAAGTATTGGCCCGATTCAATCCATTTTTGACATACAGACATTCCGTTGTCAGAGRGGCATACAAAGATATTCACTGTTAAAAATAACTGTGGCATCTGTTGGCAGTTAGGAGGATCTTGACTGATACCGTGACAATTAAATTCTTTAAATTTTATATATCCTTTGCTTATATATGCACATATGCATAGGCGTATATACATATTCGAGATAAAAATGTAGCTTTAATTTAAAATAAATGTGCAATAGGTTGCCACTAAAAGGCACATTTCTGCATAAATATGCCATAAAATAATTATTTTAATATTTTATAATCACTTACCACATTTTATTTAACTTCGTATCACATTTCTACAATAAATTGATACACTTCCGTACTCTAAACTCGTTTGCATACTTCTAATACATTAACATAACATTTAAAGCCCAACCACTGGCAGAGCTCTGCCTGCTCCGTTGCTCGGCACTCAGCTTTYGCACTCACTAATTTTTACTTTCACTTTTACTACATAAATACTTTTACTTTTTTATTTTAAAACGGTAAAATTGACTAACTCAACGTAATTTTACTAAAAACTCCTTAATTGCACCTTAATTCTTAAACTAATTTCTCTTTTCTAAATTCACGCTCAGCTTGTGCACTCACTAATTTTCACTTTCAATTTTACAACACAAATAACAACGCTCGATTACTTTTTTTACTCTAAAACGATTAAATTGTCGAACTTCAACCTAATTCTGCTAAAAACTCCTTAATTGCAGCTTAATTCTTAAACTAATTTCACTTTGCACTGAGCTGCTGCATAAGCCACTTACACGAAAGCGATATAAGGAAACGTATGATCGAAATGGCGGCGGAAATTGAGAATGATGCTATTCAAGATTCGAAACTACAGGGTTCACAAATACACACACATAAATGGATGTCATGATTATAAACTTGACCAACAGATGGCGCACATATTACTCTTTGAAATTATATAATGAACAAATGCTATTATATTTGGTTATTAAGAGCTAAAACTTCGAAGTTGGATAACATTTCTCTGACAAAAATGTTTTTTAATTATCTAATAACTAGTTTGTGGTTTGCGGTGATTCATTTTCATTCAGACAAGCGCAAGGGTGGTATTTTATAGGGTGTAGTGTCATCTGCTGACAACAGTCTGACCATTGAAGAGTATCTAGCCAATATACAGGAAAAATCGGAAGTGTGATTGCTATTAGTTTAATGAAATCTAAATAACAAGCCAATCGTAAGAAAACCATTTAAAATTATATTTATTTTACATATCTATATTTTTAGAAGTACTTTGAAAACCTATAACACCCTGTGATAGTTACTGATGCGGTTTAGTGTCTGCAGAGCTTTTTAAAAGCTCGAATATCTTTGGTCATTCTTAATTTCCGCCGCCATTTTAAACATACATTTCCTAGATTCTCGCTTGCGTCGGTGGAATTTGCAGCAGCTCGATGAAAAGTGCAATATTTTAGGTATAAAAGCTGCAATTTATAGTGTTTTTAGTGAAATTAAGTAGTAATTCGGGATTTTAATCGTTTAACAGTGAAAAATGTGATCGGGCGATATTAGTTGTGTATTTTAAGTGTTTATAGTGATTTGTGGCAATAGGAGCGGCACACTGCCAGATGGAGTATATCAAATGTTTTCAGATGTAAATAGGTGGGTGCACCTACATATGTATATGGGGAGCAGAGTGCGCTTAGAGCATTAAGTGAGGTAAGTCCTGTTGAAAATTATTAAAGTTATAAAGTTATATTAAAATACAACGTAGGCCCTACTCTACGCAATTGTGTGTATCAGTGAATGAATGTGTATACTTTTCCATAGCACATATGACCAGAGAACGTTCTCTGATAAATATACGTTCTCTGATAAATATACGTTCTCTGATAAAACTAACAAAAAAGTTCAGTGGCCACTGTATCGTTGCTATTCTCAAGAGCGAATATCATCAGTTGTCACCTCCTATTACCGCCACCATTGTTTATAATATAGTTCCTTTTAGCTAAGCGTTCGAAATTGCCTTAGCAGAGTACGCTGCATATTCTCTCATAATTGCAGCTAAAAGCGTTGGTACATTTTTAAAGTTGCGCAGTAATATTATTGCTGTTACTATCACTCTTGATTAACATTTTCTAGTCTAGTCTAGTTATAGTCTAGTTCTTAGTCAATCATTGTTTGATGTTCTCTGGCTTAGCATTGTCCATTAACACTTCTGACTACTTGTTTACAAGACAAAACAGAAGTGACCATGATATTAGGAAACAAATAATAGTAATGTAAGGGATAGGTGGGTGCAACCGAACATTTCATATCTTGTTACTTGCAGGAATCAAATTAAGGAAATATTTTGGCACACGCTCTCTCATTTTGAGATAACTCTCATATTGACCGATATATGCGGCACAAAGTCACCCCGAAGTTCGAAAATTTTTATATTAGGTATATGGGACCAATACTTCGCGGTCCGACATATCATTGTCAGAGATCATTATCCTTGAATTTCAATTATATATCTCACACATAGACCAATATTTTCGATTAAAAGTCAACTATAGGCGTCCAAATATTCGGTAACTACCTGTGTATCAAAAATGGGTTGCCTACCAAATTTCATCAAGATATCAATCTTTACTCGAGTTACAGCTAGCACGGACAGGCAGTGAATCAGCCGGATTAAAACTTTTCTCGTCATCCTCATCATTTATATATATATACATATATAATCCTATATCTATTTCACTTAGTTGTGATATATACAACCGTTAGGTGAATAAAACTATTATACTCTGTAGCAACAGGTTGCCATAGTATAAAAACCAGGTCTAAAATATCTTTCCTGCACGGAAAAGAGAGATATGGGATCAGCATATCCCATATGCGAGCAAGTACATAAATAAATATACCAATGTTGCGTTTGTTTTGTGCAGATACTCAGCTGATATTTACACTGCAACATTTTTGCGTCGACTATTATGCCTTGCTGCAGAGATTGAGATAACCAAAATCCGTTTGTTTTGACTCGCATGACTCAAACCGTTTTTTTCAATAAATCCTCCTAATTTAACGATTATCTCCCAATAGCTCGATCCCTTTGAAACATCACGTCTCTTGGACCTTCCATTAGATAACTTCTACCTTACTAACCAAGCGGGGAGCCGAATGTCGAATGGGCATACAAGGAATCCACTGTGATTGTAATACAAAGTCATTTGTATAAATGTATGCTTTATCGGTCTCAATGTTATCAGTTATAAAATCTCGCAGAATTAATTGAACACACCACAATCTCTGTTGCCATCTTTACTAATTAGAATTTTTACTTCAGTGAGTTCTATGAAAATGAAAAGTAAATTAAATTGGCATGTGTTTTATCACCAAGAAAATAAGTATGCATAAATTTCCCCAAATTTAAATAAAAAGTAACCGGTAACTTTTCTGTTAATTAGAAATCAACACTAGTTAATCATTTGAAACAGAGTACGTGTTTGACTTTCTGGGGTTTCTTGAGACTTGGGTTTCTTTATAGTTATTGTCTCTGCCTGTGTACAATCATTTACTTATTCGAAGTTCAGAGCTATTAAATTCATTATATCAGGTACATTATATGAGAGTTTAAGGATCGAAATCATTGTACTGGGTATAGGCGAGCGATAAGGTAAGTCTGTACCATCGTACAGTCTTATCACGATATGCTTAATAAAATGCTTTGACACAGATATACATATATTATTCGACCTTTCCCTCCACATTTTTTGAAATTTTTAACTTAAAGGAATGTAGAAACATTCTTAGAGCTCATGATGTTTTAATTAATAAATTTTGGAGGAGCAGATGTGAGACACTATTATACTATATGTAGGGAAATTATTTCAAAATTGAATGGTAAATAATTTTCAACATAATTTCACTATATGTTTATATTTTCTGCATTAACCTAAACCTTTCCAAATTGATTTCGCCATTAATGATAAGATAGTCTTAATTATTGCACATATTATACATTGTATGTACACCCATTTATATATGAATATCAAACCCTTACTATGAAAATAATACAATCGACTAAAATAATTTTTTCATAGTTACAGTAAATAATTCAAAGATTTATTTAATTTCCCCGATACTCGCCAGGTTATTTCAAATCACAGCAGTTCGTTAGTGTTCTTGATTACGATCTTATTAAAATTAATTATTTTTATAAATATATAAAAGATGTTTAAAAAATATTTTAAGTCGTTTATGTTATTTTCAACGTTAAGGTTAGGCATACATTTGTACAATCATACATGAAATATTTTAAACTGAAAATTAAACAGTGCTTTTCGAATATAAGTAGGTATTTATAATTCTCTTGAGAAGATATCCATCTGCACTTACCAAAAGTGCATTAAATTTTTTTTATATATAAGAGTATATCTCATTCAGCAGGAAATGTGGTTATAAACTGTATACTTATACTTATTGAAAGGGCGGTGATTTTTAGAAGCTTGATATACACCTGAAACTTCTTTAATTGTTTCTATACTCTGAGAAATTGGTTTAATATTTATTACTTAGTAACTTATTGACAAAGTAATCAGTCTACAAAGATTTCTGGGTCGCTTAACATCTTCACAACACAATTAATTCCAATAGAAATGCGAAACGGTATGAACAATGGCTTATTTTTATCAAGACCTCAGGATTTGACTATAAAATTAAATTTATATTTATAGTAATATTCGGAGTTTTATTGTGTGCCTTATATGCCAATGGAAATAACGTAATAGATGATCTTCACAAACCTCATGGGATATCATTAATTCAAGAACTAAGTGGTCCATCTACTGGTCCTTCAGGTTCTACATGCAATGACAAAGGAGTATGTGAAAATCAGCCTGATGGCGCCATGTTTCCTAATTCTGGATCAAATGGTTATATAGTGTGTCAATGCGAATGTGGAATAGCAATGCCTTGCTCCTCTGGCTTAATTTTTAATTCAGTATTTAATGTTTGCGATTGGCCTCCAGATAGTACAGATGCACCGGGAACTTCTAGCTCACCAACAGATATAACCACAAAAGGTACAACATTAACGTCATCAAGTTCGCCGTCTTCAACCCCATCGTCTACAACTTCTGATACAACCACTGAGGGTACAACATCAACGCCATTAATTTCGTCCGCTTCAAGCCCAGCGTCAACAACCTCTGATATAACCACAAAAGGTACAACATCAACACCATTAAGTTCGTCGTCTTCAACACCATCGT